TAAGTATGTTTATTGTTCATTGACCAATCAGAAGAGACATAAATCAGTTAAGTGCATTTCCACATGTCTACTCAACTAAATGTGTTCATTTTGAGCTGAGGTCTTACAGGGATAAAGGACCTGCATAATTGGTATCTTTTAGGAGTATTTCTTAGTCTAGGATCACCAACAACAACCTGATCATACTGTACAAATTCAATTCTGTGTTATGCATTGAGTTCACATGCCAGAGTTGTGTCCACTCTACCATACATAGAATTTTCATACTTTTAATTGCATTTATAATATATCAGTACAATATCTATTTACRGGTTTTTACATTGCTTCAAGAATAAATTACTAGTATGTGCATGAAATAAAGAAAACAAAATGTTTAATTTTACTTCCATGTTGTAGGCTTAGGCTTGTCTTTGCTGCCCCTACCCACCCCTCCCTGGCCAGTTCTTGATTTGAGGTCCCTGTCAACAACATCCTGTTGTGCTAATTCTTCATCATAACTGAAAGGAAGGAATTTTAAAAACAGTCTAAATTGACAAGGCTGTGAGAATTTTACAAAAAAGCTCTCAAATTTCAAGATGTTCCTCCTCTCTTTTTTGTTTTTGTTGTTACAGTAAGCTCTTTACAGTACTTAATGAACAAATTAAGAAAACAAATTGAATGTGTCACTTACAGAATGTCATAGCTACCCAATGCCTCTTTAGACGGTAGTTTGTTCCATCGTACACTAAAAATGGCAAAAAATGGCAAATGACTCGTTTTCTTTTTAAATCTRAATTCTATTGTATAAAATGTCTTTACTGATTAGCTATCAACAATTACTCAGCCATGAGCTGGGCTGCATATYGTAAAAAACATCTGAAATGCCGATGAATATTAGTAAAGCTTATTTTATTACAGCAAAGATTACAGCATCCACATTTAAACAGTCTTTGTAGTGTCTATAGAACTTTCCCAGGAATGTATTGACAYTACATTACTTATTACGTTGATTTATTTTTGCTCATGGCAAATATGAAAATATAAAAGACTTCAGACTTACTCAGGGATTTCTCCATTTGGTACAACAATGTTTAAAGTATCATGGATTAAGTTGTATTTCATTATTCTATCTGCACTTGTGGTAGAYGTCAAAGATGGAGATGCATTAACCTATAATGTGCAGAAAAGCTTTTATCAAGTTTAAATGCATTAAGGGACAGATACAGAATTTTCAAGAGGGTTTCCCTCTGTCCATCAAGTCTTCATATCAATCATCTATCTCGAAATGTAACTGCTAAAGAAATTCACCATTCTAAAGAGTCGACATGAGTTGAACAGATACTGTACAAAATAGTTGCTAAATAAAAATTAAATTAACTTTTTCACAAAGCAATTCGAATAAAAGCCTGAAATAGACTGACAGCTGTGCGAGCTTTGATCAAACTAACAAGTGTCCACATTAGGGCATTATTGATATGCAAGGTGTCAACTCACAATAAAATGCTTGGTCAAGACAAGTAATTTGTACCTCAATTAGCCAAGGTTTCAGGTTATCATCTATTATGATATCATATCTGTGCATTGAAAAAAAAATTGTTTAATGGTGAAAGCTGGATTTATTATAAAAAAAACAACAACACATTTTAAACTTACCCGTAACATTCAAAGCAGTGTCGATCATTGGCAATGACATTCTGTAAAGAGCAATTCATCATGTTAAATACAGAAACTACAATATTTAATGTGAACATTTTTACATTTTATATTTTGATTGACTTATGATAAACAAAAGAACTGAAGATGAGTCTCTGAGCCTCTTTTTTGCACATGACAACCCAACAAGTCTATTTAAAAGGAAACATTGGCAAAAAACCCTTAAGATKTTTGGCACAGCTAAGGCATGGTATTTAATGATATTTTATTAGTGAATGGAATGGATAGTGAATGGATTGGATTTAGTAAAATGTCAATGCCATAATTATTATACTGACCACAGAATGATGCATTAATTAAACTTTAAACTTTAATTATTATTTTATCATCAATCAGTACCTGAACAGCTTTAAGAGAATGCACCATCAACCAGTTAATATCATCAAATAGCTTATCTGTCAACTTAAAGTTTCACAAATGATGAGTGTTTGTCAGTTTTGTGGTCTTCCTGTGTTCTCTTTAACACAGAAATACCAGAGTAAAGTAATACCTCTTTTCCTCTGGTTCCCTCCAGGTATAATCTTAAATTCTTCACAGTCCACTTCCCACCATGTTGAGAATTATAATCATCCTAGAAAGTACATATAAAATTAAAATCTCAAACTAGGGTATGAAAAAGGCTATGTTTTGATATTGAGGCACTAATGTTCAATTAAGTGCAACTGCACAAGTTCTCAATTTACCAGTTGTCTCTAAAACTAYTGTSWYAWAWATTGGMACAATTGTGCAGTTTCTAATGACATAATTGGCTTTCWGGCTMTCAAGTAATAAGGGAGCATTTAGAATATTTTCTGGCATAAAAAAACTAGTACATGTTAGCTTTTTCACACTTCAGCTAATATTTTCCTTACATAAGCATTTCTTACCCCATGTTTCTGAATAGCAACATTTGTAAGATGAATGAAGACATTATCAAGTTCACTCAAACTTGCATTGTATTGTACTGTACAAAATCTACAAAAACCATGTCTGTACCTGAAAACAAGGAAAAGATGTGACCTATCAACATCCAATACTATTAACTATGTATGATGATACTGTCACTTCTGTGACCATGTTGTTCTATAGCTGCACTGATTCTTTCTTTAAATTCAATGCTACCTACAGTATGATGGCAGGTAAAAATGTCATGCATTGGTGCCATGACTGTGCCATGTTTTTAACACAACTGTTTCTTTACAAACACAAACRCAGCTCACACTAGTTAACCACTAGTTTCCACAATGTTTTGACTGTTGATGCGTGTCTGTAACATAGCAACATCATACAAAATCTGTTGTAGGGAAGACACTTTACTCTTTTAGAGTTCTGGCTTTGTTTATAATTATAATTATCTAAATTTCACTTCTTTGACACTAAAAGTGTTATTTAGAATACCTGCATGGTACTTACACATATGCTTTCAGTGGTCTGAATGATGTGACTGTCACATAAATACGYAAATCAAACTTCTTTCCTCCAATAAGCAAAGGATTATCAATGTATCGTGAGATCATGTATGCATCTCTTCCAGTTACATGCATTAATCTAAAAAATATATAGTTGAATTTATATTTTAACATATTCTTAATTTTGTAAAACTGGCTAGCATTGCAAACACTTTGCYTTGTCCCTTTTAACTGTAAGACTGAAATAATATTGGACCTTGTGTTTAACTTACGGAGTTCCTTTGCTATCTTTGGACCACTTCTTTAGCTGAGACAGACGATTGATGAGAAATATGCCTTTTCCTTGAGCTTAAAGAGAGTATCAACTTTTAAGAGTGCAGAAAACAACGTTTGGTTAAATTAACTACCGTTAATATGGACTCTTACATCTATTTGTCGGCTTCATAATCCAGGTGCTTGATGGGTATTTTCTAAACTCCTCCACAAATAAGTTATAATCAGCAGGTAAAATGAATGTCACAGGAATAAAATCTGTTAGACATATAAATTAAAGTAAGACATTCTCTTCCATCCAAAAGGCTCATGAGGGACAAGGAACATCACTGTACTCCTGTATTTTAATATATCTGAGTTCAGAACTGGMGTATTTCAACTAACCCAAGTGAAGATATCTTCCAAGTTCATCTTTCTCAGCTAAAGGATTATTGTCTTTTTCAAGTTCTTTGCGATATCTTTTGATATTCTTCATCATCAGATCTTTTCTAGTGAGCTCRTAATGGTTAGGGAAATGATTGATGACCCTGAATAAAAGAAGTTATGAATTCAGAAAGGAACTAATCTGCACATTTTGAAAATTTATTGTGATGCTATCAACTACTAGCACTAGTTCTATCAGGTAGTGTAGAACAAAAATATAATAAAAATAATACGTACAAGACAATTTAGAATCAAAATAATAAAATAAAACAAAAATGAGATGAGATGCTGACRAGTGACAAACTACAACATTTATTAATATAATAAAAACAAAATAAAACGTAATCAAATTAAAGAACAAAATCATCAAAGTGTATAATATTATGATAATTACTGGTCATCAGCTAGTCTGTATCCAGTATCCACATTGAATATTGCCCTGACTGTTTGCACACTTGCCCTACAATAATCATGAAAATATGACTGTTGAACAACACTTTATTAACATAAACCTAATTTACAGAAACTTGATTATGTAATGTTACTTCGCTCTCAGAAAGAACTTAAAAACAAGAACATGATTGTGTCCTGTTGYRCTTCATGATAATTTAGGGACATGAGCAGKATTTCTGTAAAGGGAGGATGTCTTTGTTTAATTTGTAGCTTTAACACTGCAAAGAAGCATAAGGAAACTGACTGCAAAATATTGCACAAGTATTGGTTTTGATTCAAACTGAAAAAAATTGGATTTTCCAAAGATGTGCTACTCTATACTGACTTGTCATATTTCAAAGACTTCATCTACCAAGGAATGGGGCATTACAGAACCCCTGAAAACCCCCCTGCGCATACCCTTTGTAATTTCAATGTTTGGATTAATCAGATAAATTAAAAGGAATGACATTGTCATTGCAGCAGACAGAGATGGGAAGGAACTAAAGATTTTGGATCTGCTGGAAACATAAATGCTGTTGCTATGCATGTCAAACCTTAGTAACCRGTCAAATCATACCACCACATACCAGAAAAATAACCCAAGCTAGCTAGGCAAAATATTATTTAAATCTAAATGTCATTATCATGAATGTACAAAGGCTCACCAATAGAAGTTCCAGTCCTCATCATCAGCACAAGGAACCCATCCRCGCTTTTCAAAATTGTTGACAAGAACAGATTTATCAACATCGCACATGTATCGCACCCTCGCCATGATTGAATTGTCAGACAACACGACTCACTCGAGTATGGMTTAAATAGTACTAATCGGCATTACTATAAGCACTAGTTTATAGAAAATTCAAAATAAAAACTGAAGAAAAAAACACTATCTAAACTCCCATGTTTTCATCTTGTAGATCTCATTCCCATCATGCTTTAGTTTTCAACAGGAAGCCCGGTTTATAYCCCATGTGGGCACATGACCCAGAAGCACCGGCAGTTTTCAAAAGGTGCCGTGCTGTTAGAAAAATATCTTAGAAAATACTTTGCAAGGTGCCTTCCTTGAAGCATTTGACTCCAAAGATCTTTCAATGAATAATTATTGATCGTTATTGGGATAGAATGTCGAATCGTTTCCGTCCTGTATTTCAACAGTCGGTCGTCTTGATCGCCATTCTGACCACTTTCGCTGGAGTGGCTTTGTATGGCCTCAAAGATGTCATCCAGAACGTTGAACAAAACAAGTGCGAAATGACTTACATGTATCAATGGCCAATATACTTCAAAGTACCTTTGTTCAAGGGAATGTCTAAAGATTTCCCACGATATTCTCTTTACTATTATGGCGAAGGTTCGAACGCAGAGGTCGAACAAGATTTCCACCGAGTGCAAGGAATTCCTGTTTTATTTATTCCTGGGAATGCTGGTAGTCATAAGCAAGTACGATCTCTCGCTTCTGTAGCACTAAGAAAAGCTGAGAACAGTGCTTACGAATWCAACTACTTTTCAGCAGACTTAGACGAAAGGTTGTCAGGAGTGTCAGGTGTGATGCTTGATGATCAAACCGAGTTTATACGTCTTTGCATAAAAAGGATTTTACGACTTTACAAAGGAAACCCAAAACGTCCTAAGTCCATTGTTCTCATTGGTCATTCGATGGGGGGAGTTATAGCAAAAGCATTATTTACATTGGAAAAGTTTGATCCCAAACAGGTGCATACAATCATTACTCTGGGGACCCCCCATCAGCATCCAGTTGTACCTCTCGACCCAATATTGTGCAATTTCTATAATCATATAAATACATTTTGGCACAGAGAAACATACCGCCGCAGTAGTAATAGTAGTCTAGCCAATATAACAATGGTGTCGGTAGGTGGAGGATTTCGAGATCTATTAGTGAGGTCTAGCACTACATCACTGTATGGWCATCTACCGCACTCTCATGGGATTAGTGTTGTCAGTACATCTATACCAAGGGTTTGGGCTTCAGTGGATCACCTATGTTTGTGTTGGTGTAAGCAACTGGTTCTTGTCATCAATAGGGCCTTGTTTGATATGATAGATGACAAAACAGGACAAATTACTGAAAGCAGACAACAAAGACTTGGGGTTTTAGAGCACCACTTTGTACAAAACCCTGGCACAAAAGATGTCTTTGCAAGGAAAACACAGATGAAAGGAGCTAGTAGTTTGAAGAGTTTGAGTCCTGTTGCAGTTGACCGAAGGCTATGGGTCTTCAAAGGTGGTCATTCTAACAAGCAGTCAAATAAACTTTATACTTTTGACCTTGATCAATGGAAAATAACGCACAGTGCTTTTCTAATCCTTACTAATGTAGAGTCTGAAAAATGGCTGTTYGCATGCAAGGAATCATCCACCCATCCTTGCAGCTCAGCAACAGACATGTCACACTATGCACAGCTTTTACCATCCAAAGATGTCCCTCTAAAATTCACTTATCTCAGACTTAATGAATTTGAAAATGTTTCCCACTTTGCTGTGGCTTTTTCTTCACCAAAAACTGCCAGCTTGCTCCTGACTGAGTTCCATTCAGTTGGTATTTCATCTTACATACTAGACGTACCTTGGCTTTTCTCTGGTAACCCAACAAGACTGGAGATCGAAGGAGATGTATTATTTTCAAACATTTCTCTTTCCTCCATTTCCAAAGTATGGAAGGTGTATGACATCCAAGTTCGTAGCAAAGGCTGTGAGAAAAGTATGTTTTTAGTAGGAAGAGTCAACATTCCTTGGTTTAATGAGAACATTTACTCACATTCCACTCAAGACCACCTTGACCTTCAAATCAAGCTTCATCATCCAAGACCAAGGGGCTTTGTGGGAAACATTGAGGTTCASTTATGGCTAGATCCCAAATGCTCCCATGTGGTCACTATTAAACCTAACCTGAATGAAATGCTTGGTCAAGTTTTCAGGTTTTTTGGGGTTCAACTGACAATGTGGGTATATTCTATGTTGCTACTGGTACTAGCCTGGCAAGTGTCATCCTTGGCCACTGCACAGAGATGTCAATCATTCTTTGACCTTATTGCAAGCTCACCCAAAAGCTTTAGAGTTCTTCTTCTATTGACTCAAGTTCATTTTGTTATATCACAAGTTGTGCTACCGTTCTTTGTCATGCAGGGACATACTGGTCAACATGACTGGCTTCCTGGTATTGCAGACCTGCGTACCTTTGATTGGCTCTTACCATTGGTTATCATTATTTCTACTGCAGTACTAATGGTAGTTGTGATGTTTGTATGGATTGGGATCTTACTGTCCATTGGTGGACGTTTCTTTTTCTGGCATCAAGACCTAGAGGATGTTATTGCACCAAAAACATTGTTTCCTATCAAGCAACTTATCTTTGCTGGTATTATTACTTTGATATCTCTAGCCATTAATGGAGTTCTTGGTCTTATCATTGCTTTCTTGTTCCTATTTGGGAGGTTATGCAGACAGTCTGCATTGCTTCGTCAGTTGAAAGCCCTGCCATCGAATAGCRACAATGCAAAGCTTATTTCAATTGTGCAAGGTGTTTGCAACTTATCCTTGACTATATGCGCATTGACAGTATACACAGTTCTATTGAATTTGCCATCCCTGGTTGTTTGGGCTAAAGCACTACCACATCATTACCAGCTGTCTCCAGACCCAACATGTTTACTTGGGGCCCTGATGGGAATGAACGTCATTCATATTGGCTACCACCCTCTAGGGGATGCTCCACAGTCTCTAGTTTATGTTATTTTCTTTGTTGGTGTTGTAATCACGCAAGCACCTATTGTACCTCTCTACATGGTGTCTTACACAGGATGTCTTATTCTTACTGCACTCAATATCTCAAGAATATCAAAAGAGTTCAAGAAAAGACAGAACCAACATAATGAGTAAACTGTGTATATTATAACTTTGACACTGTGTTAAAAGGAAGAAGAGCTCAAAGGATTGCCATATAGATATTTAATAGATACATTAATGTGGTCAGTAGTAACATTTTAAAGAGAATGTTTACTCTTTTGGATAATATTAAAAGATTGTCTATATTTAAATATGCCTCTTGGTGGGTTTCCACTTGCTCAAATTTTTAGAGGTTGACATGTATGTTCACGACAGGTATTTTTACCTTTTTAGTGAGTCAAGAACATGATCATAGAATTGAAAAATAAGGCCCAGTTCATAGGTCAAGCCAGTATTGCGCCAAACCCAATGGTAAATTGGTGTCGAACCAAATACATTCAGAATGGTGGTGATTCATACATTAAACAAATGCAGTTAAAAGCATAAAAAATCTGCTAACACACAATTTTACATCCATTATTATTCTTGAAAAAAGATATTTTTGTGCGTTAAGTTCGGCACAATGATAGCTCAATGTTTGAATGGAGCTTTTGCCATGCAGCGTAAGTGGCGCAGCCGTGTSCTGTGGTTGTGCCAATTTCAATTGATTCATACGTCGAGCTGTTCATGTGCTAAATTCAAACTATTTCGTTTGGCTCAAAGTATCCGGGCCTAAGTAATCTTAACTTACAGTTGGGAATAAGCAAGTGGTAAGATTGATAAGATTAATTTTGGATCACAAAGTCTGTGTAGTAGCCATATGTCACTGCTGAAGGTGAGGTTGCAGATGGGAATGAGAAAGTAATATAACATAGTTGGATTTGCAGTACTAAAGCATGCATTTGCTGCATTTTACCCATAACTGTATCTTTATACTTTCAATGAACTTAATGTGCTTGCAAAGAAAAGACAACCGAATTGACAACATTTATGCTTAAGCTTTATTTCACACAAATCAGTTTTGCTGGTCAATATATATGCTATTTACAATAATGGAAAAGACTGTTAATGATTCAATGCTAAGTGTTTGACTCCTCACATGGTAATTAGTAAACACTATTTTGCAATGTGACCCAAAAGATATTCCATTTGTCTTAAAAAAAGTAACTCAATGTTAACTTGTCCTATTGTTTCTGTAGACAATGGATGATTGGTTTGAGTGCTTCTGTAGAATTCACAATGATAGAGTGATAACAAACATACAGTACTACAACTCATTGTTCTCTTTCTTGTTTTATCAACAAGGGAAAACTCTCCACGTTGCTTGGAAAATCACTCGTATCATACATGTGCACTATCAACAAAAACCTGTCCTCAATACTTACAATAAAATCCTAATAAATCCCACCCCCAGATCAAACAGTTTACACTGCACAATTTCTGTCTTAAACTCTTTAGGTAAATGTCATCAAGATGTGTGCTCTATGTATAATGTGTGTTTTTTAAGCAGTTGTAGGCAAACCTTGTATTCTACGGTGCTAATCAACCTCGAAGGCTAATGAATTCTTACTATTCACAACAGATTTAAACAAGACATTAACAACCAATGACACAAGTAGGTTTTTAAAGACTTCTCTATGAAATGTAATGTCTCTAAACTGCTGTTTCAGTAAAGGCATATCTCCTCCATGGATTTTGTATGGATTTTCAGTGAATAGCAGCATTTGCCATTTTCACTCCAGCCCAATGTATCAAAGCCTTTATGTGTCATAGTCTGTTATGCATTGATTTTCTTGTTAAAATCATAAACCTAAGGTGCCTTATAAAATTTCAAGTGGACTTGTTAAGTTATAAGTCGCGTACAGTAGCTATAAAAAAACAACTTTCCTGTACATGATGATGCTTGTCCTCATTACGAGGGATATACTATTAATATATTACTAATAACATATACTTTTTGAATCCCATAAGTTATTAATAAAAGTCTTGTATAAGTTAAATATTCCAGTGAAGCAATAGTAGCTGACACTCATTTTACCTTATATTTATTTGTCTTGCTGCTAAAAAAAACTACATAAACAAAGGTACCCAATTTAGGTACAGCCCATTCTAATAAACCACAGATAGTCGTTACAATAATACTGTTAGATAAAAAACAACTTATATATATCAGATAATATTTATAGAATACAGTATACTTGACTAGGCTATTATTATATACAATCTTAAAATACCAAATCCACCTAATATTCACTGCAGGCTTACTGTGAAAACAGATTGTTGCAAAGTCTTCTTCAACCTTCAATTGGATTTTACTGAGCTGTCAATCACTTGAAAGGAAGCTCGCTCATTGGCTGAAAGGGTTATACAATCAAATTCAAATAAAAAGGGCTATTTAAAATATTATTGCTGTTTTAAGATTGTGCTGTTTTTTAACCAATGGAAATAATAATACATAAACTATATTATCTTTACTTGAACAGCAAGCTCCAGTTCTAGCAGTCAGCTCTGAAACGAATATCAAACCTATAGAGAAGAGCCCATTGATCTCCAAAAAAGAACTATTTATAAAACAGATTTTGAACTAAAAGGAAATTCTTTGGGTTAAACTTTTAAGCTGTGGAATGAATAAAATGATGGGCTGGCAAGACTTGACTTGCACCTATTTGCCTCTCTCTTTAAGCAATGAACAAACAATGTAAATACACAAGACTTTCCTTTGTAAATTGTTTGCTTGCTGCTGAAAGAGAGAAGCAAATGTGTTCAAGACATGAGAAACTGCTATGCCTTCTCTCACCTTCCCATGAATCAGTTCAAGCATTTTGAAAAAAAGTTMAGGACTGGGTACTAGTCTATGGTTACACTACAAGAAGCCCAAAGCAGAAAACATTCCCTTGCGATACCTTGCTTGTAATTTTGTTATATATTATAATATTGCAAATATTTAGTTATGTACAGGGTGATATAATTCACAGTCTAATAACTTATGTTCTATAAAAATAACCCTCGCAATAATTCTATTTGAGCTTCATGTTTTCACTAAGAAATCAAGAGACTCTTTGGATGACAGTTGCGTAAAAACAGAAGAAACGTTCCTGTCATACAAAAAGCCTTGTGATTTCTTAGTACAAGTGGCATATGCACATCACACATGTCGACTAACACTAACCAGAACCATCTTGATAAAGAATGAACATACCACCTGGTGTTTTCAAATGACTGTAACAGCACAACCTTCATTGAACTGGAACATTTGCAACAGATTGTCATTAAGTGATTACTCTAGTGTTCACAATAATTCTGCCTTTTGAATGTCACGTCAAACCAGTTTCATCTGATGGACAACAAACAAAGACTAACAGCTGGTGCTATGAACATTTTGAACAAAATTGAGCATTCTGGACAACAGAAAACTTTGTACACCACAATTTTACAAGTTTATGTTCACCCAAAACTATGCAATCTCCTTCTAAAAAGTCTTTAATCTCTAATAGCAGAGATCTGGATAGCCTTTTACCATGGCCATTTATCAGCAGTTTTTATATATTACTGTAAAACTCTACATAGTCTTTACATGATGAGACAATTTGTGTCTGTCGTGGCTAACAGCACAATGCACAACCAACATCAGAGAGTTGGTCATCCCTTATAGATCCCATACCCTGCGTATGCGCTTGATGATTTAAGGTCCACTGCCTTCCTTTCCTGTCAACCAATAAGTCACCATTTTACCCTTCCCCTTGACGGCGACAAGTCCACGGCAATTGAATGTGTAGCCACGTGTTGACAAGATATCATATATGCTTTTTGTTACCTAACGAGATCAACAAAAGGACCAGTGAGTGATCACTTATTAATAAATTATGAAATGGATGGGATGGGATGGGATGGGATGAATGGGATGGAATGAAAAAACGAATAAACAAATACTACAAAATGACCAAGAAACTCACCTGTATGGAATCTGATTTGCCTGTACTGTACATTCTACTAGCAACATTTACAGTGTCACCCCAGATGTCATACTGAGGTTTATGAGCTCCTATTACTCCAGCAACAACTGGACCAAAGTTCAAACCTAAGAAAAATAACAAAGGCATAAAATGTGAAAGTAATTTAGTATAATGGAGAGAGGTACTTGGCAATTGTGGGATTAACTTTTGTTAGGGATTGTCATTTTCTGTGTGAGATTGTGGTATATGCAACTCCATTAAAGCCCTCTATATTTGGTCTGAAAAGTTGTCTATGTTCATGGCGCTAGTATGTCATGGTAAGGTATCAATAGGTTATGTAGATGTTAGTGATTAGAATGTAAGTAGTAGGGAAGTAGTAAGTCATAAGTAGTAAGGTATTAATAGGCTTTGTAAAGATGTAGATGTAAGTAGTTAAAAGGTAAAAGTATTAGGTAAGAATACCAGACGGTAATAATTGATAAGGTTCAAGTAAGTGGCTAACAAGGTGGTGCAGTGTTAGCARGCTTTCATTAGATGCAAAAATGATAACAATTACTGAATAAAACCATGTACTTACCAACTTTCATTTGAAAGTTATTAAAAGAGTGTATATTGATATCACACAGTTTCTGTTTCATTGCCATGGCAAAGTCAGCCATACGAACAACGTGGTTAAGAGTTGCTAACTTTTCCTGCAAAATAACAGAGATGCTTAGCAACTTCTTGTTCATGTTGTATGTATTATGATTGACAGATGTCTATTTTAAATCTTGTTTTTTATGTTGTATTTACTATGATTGACAGATGTCTATTTTCTATCCATTATGATTGACAGATGTCTATTTTCAATCTTGTTACTCATGTTATATCTGTTATGATTGACAAATGTCTATTTTCTATCCCTTATGATTGACAGATGTCTATTTTCAATCTTGTTTTTCATGTTGTATCTGTTATGATTGACAAATGTCTATTTTCTATCCCTTATGATTGACAGATGTCTATTTTCAATCTTGTTTTTCATGTTGTATTTACTATGATTGACAGATGTCTATTTTCTATCTATTATGATTGACAGATGTCTATCTTCAATCTACTATGATTGACAGATGTCTATTTTCTATCTATTATGATTGACATATGTCTATTTTCTATCTATTATGATTGACAGATGTCTATTTTCTATCTATTATGATTGACACATGTCTATTTTCTATCTATTATGATTGACATATGTCTACCTGTGATTCAGGCTTGATTCCTGACGCAGCCATGTATGTTTCACCTATTGTTTTAATCTTCTCAATGCAATGGAACTGAGGTTCTGACAGCAGCTGTGGGAATGAAGCAATAATATTAGTAAATAAAACACTACAACATTATGTAAAAAAGATTATCTATAAGAGCACCAGTGTACAAACCTCATCAAAATCAGCAAGGATTTCATTCAATAACCTCAGACATTCAACTCCTTCACCATTGGCATCCAGTTCAGAATAAAACTCAGAAAAGTTACAGATATTGGAAAACATGACAGCAACTTTGTCACAGGATTGGTAGTACAAATCCTAGAATACAAAAAGAAAAGAAAAAAAAGATAAAAAGTTGTATCATGCATCATAATAAATGACTTCTCCAAGGTTTCCTGGACACCATGAAAAGATTGCTTTGACWTTGCATTAATACACAATGATAGTTAGTGGTCTTACAGTGATAGAAAACTGTGGATAACATTATTATTCTCTGTATGTAACAGAAGAATTTTTCTATAATAATTGCACGATCTCTAGTGACTTCGTCCTTCAAAGCAAAGCAAAAAAGGAGACTAAAAAAGCTTGGTCAAAATGTTTAAACATACCTCATTCTTTTTCGACTTCTGGCCAAGGAAATGTTGTGCAACATGGACGGGCAAGATATTGTACAATAGTTTCTTGTTGTACTCTCTTAGTTGTTCCATGTCCTTCTTTTCTTCTGTAGCCTAAAATTGTTCAGGCATTATACACATCAAAATTACAATACTCACAAAGCTGTAAGATTCAAYATCTTGYGATGTATAAACRTAACTTAGACAGTWATCAAAATGTTGTGCTATACATACCTGAAGCTTCCAGAGAAAGTCTAGTCTTGCTATTTGCTCGCGCTGAAAAGTAATTMAAAGAATTTAATGCTGTTATACCTTGGAAACATGACAAAATGTACAACGAAAAGTCTGTAAACCCTGTACATTGCATAATATTTAAAAATTATCTTTAATTAATACTTTGTTCAGTATTCAGCCAATTTTATTAATGTTGTTCAGTCGTAAAGATATCAAGACAACAACAAAGAGTACTCATTTATTTTTAGAAATTATGCCTGCGTACAAAGAAATTCTAAACAACAAAGTCATTGGCATCATATTCTTAATTATTTGTTTCCAAAAATACTCGACATAAAGCTTCATGTGTCAATAACATATCTAAAGTTCATAATTACAAGTCTCCCTGCAAATATTAAAAACCAATTTATGCCAAATGAGTTTGTTGTTGTCTTTATTTCTTTACAAGTGAACAAGGTTAATAGGGTTGACTGTATCTTTTCCGTGATAAAATAAAGGTGTAATGGTTGGACAGTACTCACCAAGTAGCCATGTCCAGTGAGTGCACATATGAACATTAATACAATCAAAATAGAAAGATGGGCCCACTTGATAAAGTCGTTCAGACTAAAAACATACAAAATTGTTACAATTATATTATAGTCTCAACAAAAACAGGAGTGCATTTTTTGTAAACCAGTGATAAAACAAACTAACTTCATTTTATACTATAAACAATGAAATTGCTAAAGATACAAGACAGTTGAAAATAGTTTTGGAAATAAAGCATTCCACCCCAAACAAAGTTTTAAAAAAAATGCTAGCACATATTTGACCATTATTCTCTTGATAAAGAAATCATTCACATTCACACCTTTTTTATTAATTATATGCACTAAAATTTATTAAAAAATCATTGCAGTACTTACGAGCAATACTGTATTTCGTCATGGCGTGTAAACTGTTCAGTGACGTTACTATAGACTTGTACAATAATGATATATGTCCCTGCTATTATACTTAGAAGGCATAGCTTATGGAGAGTACCCAGTTGCAGAAAGACAGCACAAGCTATCATCACAAGAGTCACACTGAATGTAAAATACTGTAACAGAAAATAAACTATTGTTAGACACATTGAGTACTCCTTCACATTCTTGGGTTTAGTTACGTCATCACAATTTTTATTTTACTCAAATTAAAAAATTGACATTCATGCCCTTTTAGAGCATAAAAAAACTACATAGTTTGACTAAAAATTAGCATTGTAGAGCGTTTGCTTGTGGAATTATTATCAATTGAAGATTCGCAAAATTTGGTAAAAATGTAAGAAAAAATCGATGTGGTGGTCAACATCTGACCTCCACCTGGATTCAATGGCTTACAAAATGACAGAAATTTGAATTTTTTGACATATTTCGTGATAATATTCTTGCAATCAATAAATGTGCCTAAATGAGGCAAAATGTTTTATGCACATTGAATTGTAACGGTTTTTAAAGGTCCGTGACGGCACTGCATGACACAATTCAATCTTTAATATCTCGAGAACCAAACAATTGATTACACTCATTTTTGTTCTTATATCTTTATAATACCCATAGTTATAACATATAAATATAGTTTGTATCATCATACATATTAGAGATTTAATATTTTTGTGACGTCACATGAAATCCAAGAATTAATGGGGACACAGGAAATTATCTATCTTTAATATACATGTAATTAAAAGATGCAAAATATTAAATAAATAGTAAATAATCATTATTTCACTATAAATGCAGTTTTCATTGCCTTTATGCCTCTATGTTGCCTCCCTGGAGTATTGTTTATTATATTGTAAAAACTAAGATATGGTGATTTTACCTGTGGGTAATCACAAGAAAGATTCTCTGGATTGAGTTTATGAGAATCATTGCATGTCTGATTGGCACTATTCTCAATAGCAAGTTGAATGGCTTTTTCGCAACCAAACTGTTGAAAACAAACAGGGAAGTGTTACAATAACTATTGCATGTAACCCGTAGAGTGGATTTTGTATGGCTGTGCAAGGGGAAGGATCACAGCACTGATACAGCATGGTAGTGATGCCAAATGAAAATAGTGATTCTAGAACCACAGGCTTCCCAGTCTCTGAGGAGTTACGGGAGATGGGCGACAATCTAAAGAATAGGATCCTCTTCTCTTCACTCTGGAGGGAGCCAAAATCAAGCACTTCCAAAACACACTAAAACAGCATTATAATCAAAAATAACCCCTCCAGAAATGTTCATAAACTATTGAAACATCTTTATTGAAGTATTTTGATATTTCAAGAATGAAAAGATACGGTTTAAATACAATATTTTGACTACATGTGAAAAACTGTTTAGATTGTCGCCACAGGTAGCACATCTCCCGTAACTCCTCTAGCAGAGACTGGGAGGCCCGTGCTAGAATATGGCACAGCATGGTCGTGATTCAGAAGTGCCATGTTTTTCGTACATTGTACAAAATCCACTCTATATCATGTAGTGTTCTCTATATCACGTAGTGTTATAACAAGTCACAACCACATATAAAAAGCCCATCATATTACAACAACAATACAAAAATAACTACAATATGTTTAATATAACTGTGTGTCCTTGTAAAATGTCCCATGTTTATAGTGTAATTAATAAAAAACTGTAATAGAAAGTACCTTCCATAAAAACAACTGCAGTTGGTAATTTTGATAATCAATTAAAGAGGCAATTATGTTTATAGTAACTAAAGGTTTGAAGTCTCACCATTCCTCCAATGGCAGCAATATATATCGTCATAATAAGRACAGATGCAATCACATGACAAATCACTCTGGAGTTGCAAATCTTGGTTGACAAATTCCTCATACAACTTGGAAATGACTAAAAAATGTAATGGTAACATTAATTGTAATATTTTATTTCTAAAGCTGTCAAGGTAAATAAAGAAACTTTCTATAACTTAATCACTATTAATATAACCAATCAGTGCAAGCCATTCTGGAGAAAGGGGTTTCCTAGGGTATGGGATACTTGACATTAGAAAAATCTTTGTAATCGTAACATTTCTCATAAAATGGTTATTAAGTTCACTTTGCCCCTAAAAGATACCAAAAAGTACTTATTTCCTGTAATTTGAGCTGAACTCACTAAAAAAACTAAGATTACTCTTTTGTACCCCTAAAAGACACTACAAGAAAACCTAAATGATATTTGATGGACCAAAGCAACCCATCCCTCTCCCCCTTGGTCTTCTTCCCCTGTGGTACATGTTACCTGGTCAATGAAAGTCTATACATACCATGAACTTCTCTGCAATKATGATAGTATATAAAGCAAATATTGCCACAAATGCTGTCACAAAAACTGCAAGGGTTACTACACTTCTGTAGGGAAAAAAGAATTTTTTTGATGAATTATAACATCAAACTTTTTTACAAAAGTCATATTAATACATATGTGAAACAAAGTACTATTCAAAATATTTCCTCACACACCCCCACACAGAAAGAAAATGTATTTTGAAATTTGTCATTTTCATAAAGTTCAAAGTAAAGTTTTAAACTTTTTTATTGCTATATAACAGTTATAAGTAATTTGTTGCCTTATACATGGCAAACCTCTTGACATGATGATAACACGTAAAACTTGTCAAAATGATGGCCAGTACTATATTTATTATTCATCTTTATTCAAGGTTTTCCTACCTGGGTAAAATAATGACTTGAACCACAAAAATGAACACAAAGATGAGGAACACACACGACGTGTAGAACTTGAACATGTGATCTCTTTCTTTTGAATACTGTGTGATTCAAGTACCATGATAATTAGTATCATAGTATTACATGAAATATAATTTATAAAATAACTTATGATGAAGAAGTTATGCTGCCTGAAAGAGTGAAAAGGAAGGAAAAATAACGTGATGACTCTTACCAAATCTTCTTTTTCTTTATCTTTGAATGTTAAGGCCAGTGCTTTTACAAAATCCTTGCGCAGCCTAGTAGTCATTCATTCATTATCAATTTTTAGAAGTTTATTGGTGTAAAATATACTAAACGTTTATTGTGCAACATAGAATCTAACTTGCAGTAGCAAATTTATTTAAAAATGATCAATTCTTTAAGATTATTATTATCATTTGTGATTACAAATGAGGGTACCTTTCAATGCTTCTTGATTCTATTGATGTTGCTAAGAAATTATTGACTTCATCTTCAGTGTCTTGCTGGTCTTTAATACCAAGTCTATAACCAAAAAGAATCTTTATTGCTACACATTATGTTGTGAAGAATCCATAAAATTGTCATTACTCTTAGATGAATAAATAAATACATAAGCAAGTAAACAAATAAATATAATATGATACAGATAATTAATAAAATTATTATTGTAATTCTAACCCAAAGTACTGGTATTACATATTAGACAATATTATTCCAGAACTAAATTCCAGGTTATTTAAGGAAAACAGAAAACCACCAAAAATTCTCACCTGTTGATCATCTTATTATTTTGATCCTCTTCTCTTGTTATTTCTTTAAA